TAAGGGCAGAGGGTGGGTGGGAAACTGGGGGGAGGGGACTTATGGGGGGGGGGGGAAAAAGAGGAACAACTAATCTGAACAATAAAGATTTATTAAAAAAATAAAATAAAAATAAAAAGCTTATTTTCCCCATCATATCTATCTGTAGGAGAGACTGCTAATTACCTGATCCAGTATCTGTTCTTCCTTTTCTTCTTTGTAATAGAACCCAAGAATTTATTCAGGTTATCAGTGTGCCCAGCTTTTCTTGGTATATACATGGCCATATCACTAGGCTCTGGCCAATGATATGGAATTAGAAGTGTTGAGTGATGAATGAATCTGGGAAGTTTCCTTAAACCTTAAGGTGTAAAAGGAAATGGGCCCAGTCATCTCTTTCTTGCTGCTGCAACATGATTGTGATGGCTAGAGCTCCAGCAGGCTTCTTGAACTATAAAGTGACATTGGAAATAAAAGCCATGGTAGCAGAGCAAGAAGATAGAATATTGGGTCCTAATTTTATGATGCTACCCTAGACTGCTTTGAATAGAATTAATGAAACTCTCCAGTAAAAAGACCTCAAGTTTATCTTTCAGCACGGTTTTCTCTGTAAACATACTAGACAAAATATTAAAAGAACATCAGCTGTGATGCTAGGCAATACTGTTTATGATTAAAAATGATCCTTTACTAGTAAATTGTACCTCGGCTAGGAAGACTCTGACAAGAACTATAAATTGGGAAACATGGGCTTTGGGCTTTCTTAAGTGCTGTGTTTCTTATTACAAAGACCCCTGGAAGCTACACTCATGGGCTATTTCAAAAGATACTGGTTCTTAGGCAGCATGAAGCTTCTATGCCAGTGTGGCTTTAGTACCCACCCAATGATCTTGTTCCCTTACAGCTGAATTGACACTTGGGCAGCTGGAGTAAAGACTCTTGCTGAAACAAGGCACATGCTGTTGTGCGTTTCCTAGTGCCAGGCTGGGTCCCACAAGGCTTATTGAGTCCTGTGAGTGTGAATGTCATTCCAAACCTGTGCTCCTGCTGCTGTTCATTGCAACTGCCCACCTCTCGTCTTTACCTGAGAGAAATAACTTGTTTAAGTCACGCTGTAATAGCCACATTTATTTATGTATTTATTTAAAATATATTTTATTGATTTTTTTACAGAGAGGAAGAGAGAGAAATAGAGAGTTAGAAACATAGATGAGAGAGAAACATCAATCAGCTGTCTCCTGCATGTCCCCCACTGGGGATCAAGCCCACAACCAAGATACATGCCCTTGACCAGAATTGAACCTGGGACCTTTCTGTCCAAGGCCCGACGCTCTATTCACTGAACCAAACCGGACAGGGCAATAGCCACATTTAATTCTAATTGACACATTATGCATTTCAGCAAACTTGAAATATTTAGAAAAGTATAAAGAAGTTGAGTGGAAGATTCCCAAGATTTGTAATCTTGCAAAGGAACATCTAGACTATGAGGTAAGTTATACCTTAAATTGAGGGAAATAAAGTCATAAGTTCTGAAGAGAACATGGTATGTTTTAGCTCCATATCTGTTAATAAGATGAAATGTTTAAAATTTAGTAAAATAAAATCTTATTTTTCAACTATGAAATATTTTGTAAATCTAGAATTTCTACACCATTGATCTGCCTTACTAACTTACTAGGATTACTTAAAAACTAATCTTGGAACCAGTCTCTATGTAGCTGTCACATTTAATACTACTGACACTGAATGGAATGGTTGGGTTTTGCTTACAAATAATGATATTCCACTCAAAAGGACCATATAGTTAAGCTGCTTCAAGGGGCATTATTCCTTCAGGCCATTATTAAAATGTTTGAAAATCTACCAATTTGTTCTTTATGTAATACACTAGAGGCCCCATGCACAAAAATTTGTGCACTTGGAGGGGGTCCATCTGACCGGCCTGTGACCTCTCGCAGTCTGGGACCCCTCGGAGGATGTCCACCTGCTGGCTTAGGCCCACTCCCTGGGGGATCGGGCCCATGCTGGCAGTCAGACATCCCTCTGGCAGCCCAGGAACCCTCGGGGTTTAAAATTTTTTACCAATTTAAAAAGAAAACTTACTGGTCTTTATGACATGACATTGT